AAATTTTTTCAAGTAGGATTTTGTATTTTTGACTAGAAAGTAATTTAGTAAAATTATCTTCCAGGTTTTGAGGTGACATGTTTAATTTCATAGTAAACCTAATGTAATTCCTATTTAATGTGGTGGTAGGGTTTCTACATGTCAAAGTTTTTTACTGCTTAGTTTTCATAATAAATTCCTATTATTTTTTCTTCGGGCAATAGTTCGTTTATTAGGTTTTCTGTTTGTATATATAGTGTCTTGCTTAGCGCCATGTAGTCAGCTTCGCAGGATGTCTTGTCTACCTTCGACATCCATGGTATAAGATTTCCATTTAATGATTGTGTGCCTCATGGTGATGCGAAAGTTGTAATTTAATACTCTCTTCGCTTTTGTTCGCTTAATGGTTAGGATGGAACCTTGCTTCGTAGAAATATCCAGTCACTCCTTTTACCATCATTAGTTGCGTTTAATTCACTATTACGCATAAATCTTCCAGGTAATATTGTAGCATATGCAATACCGGGTCTTGTACAAGAAGCGCTATGTTCTAAGAGAGCCGAATGGATAATATCCCGTATTAATTTGATTGTACTCCTCAGAGAGCTGTAATTCTTTTCGTAAAAGGAAGTGCAAGTTTATGTCTCTTATTACTACGTCTTTTTGGCTTCTGAAATAATTTTGATCGTAGGTTCTTTTGTGTCATATTTGTAATCCATATCTTAAACTTAGCATGCGAGGCGTATGTTAGAACAAAACAATTTTTTACAGGAGTATGGCACTCTTCCTTTGTTTTACCCCTTATGTTTTCAAATTGTGAAATAGTAGTTTCGAGTTTAATAACGCATAGCTCTTGCAGTTTTTTTTCTTAGCTCTTTTGTATATAAATGGTTAATAACTAGACTTTACTGAGTTGCTGGAGCAAGTTGTTCAATTTTATTTGGGTTCATTAATATCTCATAATCTGATTGTTGTATGTTGATACCTAATATTGTTTAGGTCGCAGTCGTCTCGAATGTTGTATTCTTTTCGTAGCTTTTCTAATAATATGTGGTGTTCCCCTATATGATTCACTCATCGGCGTATATTCCTATGATCATTACAAAGTTTTTGGCATTTATCCATTTGCTTTTGTGTATTCGGATTTTTGTAATTTTTAAAGTTAAATCATTGGAAAAGAGTCGACCGAATTCTTTGAGGCCAAATAAGGCAACAATGTGGTAGTATACATTTTTAACGTTTGGAGTGATTTGCAGATAATAGGGAGCTCTACTGGGGATCTAAACAGTCTTTGATTAGGTAGAGCCCCTGAAGTATATGAACGTACACTGGTTTTTAAGTTTTGTATAAAGAAAGACAGTAGTAATATTCGCTATTTGAACTAGTAGTTGTTTGAGATTTGCTATGAGCATCAGTAAGCGAAAAGAGCCCTTTGATAGAACAGCGTTTTCTTTATGTCCTTGCAGTGAGGCGGGTCGTACAAAAGTTTATTCCTTTTTTGAAAAATCTCCAGGTTGTTGTTAAAATAATTCCCTGTTCTGACATTTTTTGGATTGGTAAATGGTAAAACCTTTTTGTTGTGTTATGGATAGTTCGTCTTTGACTGCTCTCTTGTGTAAATTCTTTTAGTCTGCAATATTGGCTTCATTATAGGTTAGGTAGGTGATGGATATTTCTTTTTATTTCATATTCGTGAATGTAATTTGTAGGTTTACATCTTTTATTGCTCTCCAATGTTTTGCACTGTTCCTCCTTTACCTCAGAGTTTTCAATAGCATTAAGAGGTTTATTATAATCTCCTGTCCAGATGTCTTAAGTGTTAGTCTCAAGTGTTCCCTTTCCTTTTGTATGGCCTTGTATAATTCCTCTGGGTAATGTTTTCTTTGTTTCAATGTCATAGATTATGTTTTTATAGTTTTCATAAACTTCATTCTTGGAATATTTGTTTACTCGGTGGTTTTGTATTAATAGTGTGGCCGATTGTGTGTGTTTTCGAATAAATATTTAGATGTTTTTAAATAATCATGTTTGAAAGTGCACGTGTAGGGTGTGTGGCGCTATGCAATTTTTGTCTGTATCAAAGGTGTACTTTATGTTATGCCTTAGAAGTTTAGATGTGTTATTTTTTAACTAATTTGTGGTCATTTATAATGAGAACTCTGTGGTTTTCATGTGTTGGCTTGCCGTCAATGTGTTATTCTATACGTCTTACTTCATTATGGATTGTTTTATGTTTTTGTGGTTTTTGTGTATTTAAGTTTATAAAATGAAATAGTCTCCTACTGTGTATTGCTTATTGTAAGGTCTTTTGGGATTTCATTGTGTATTAAAGGTTTAAGTGCATTACTATTTTAATGTTTTTCATTTTTTCTTTTGTTGTGTTGAGGAGACATAATCATTTAAAGAGGGTTTAGAATATACATATATTATACAAAACGCGTATCCAGCTCCACCCTCATGGTTGAAGTGGAGGGCTAAGTAGTTCCATGAAAACAATTTTAGTCCTTTTCATTATCACAGTTTATATAGGTGATCTACGCATGTGGAGCGTAAGTCAAAACCCCTTAAACACTAACAAATGCTCAAAGCGCGTCAAGAGGACAGCAGTAGCCTGTGCCGTTCCAAGTCTAGCAGATAGCCTTCTGATAGCCGCTCTTACAGGGCGATTACATCCCGTCGGAAGATGGCAGAAGCCCACAATAATTACTTCGTGTTGGATGCGTTAACTTTATAAAACAAAGCTACACTTCGTTGTATCTGGAAGGAGTATATGATATACGGTAGGTCAAAGACGCGCAGTTCCGACTTGTTTGCGTAATAGGCGGCCGCTTAAGTTTCCAAACCTAGTGCTCCACGCAGTTGTAGTTAAAATTCTCATACAGAACAACAAAAAAAAAAAGACATTTAGATCGGAAGGGTAGCGGTTTGCTGGAGGACTTTGAAGTTGCTATTGCGAAAAACGAACCCCTGGGTAGAGGATAAGCCCAACTGTCTTGGTATCCCGCATAATTGGCAGAGATATTAAATGGTGTTAAATGCTTTGCTTTATTAGAATTGCAATGCCCCCACAGCAAGCCGTTCTTAAGCTAAGCGCAAAGTTACAAAAAGTTAAATGTTGCGTTAAGGGAGAGGTGCATCTCAAAAACGACCCAGACATAAATTCTTTTACCCTGTATCAACTCTTGCAGCTTGTAATTTTTGATAAAGGTTGTACACGCACGTTACTTTGTTTCTTTTAATGAAGTTATTTAAATTAAATGTATTAGGGTTTTAGGGCTTCATATATTGAATGTACTAGTTAATCATATAGCCGTATAAATTATTTTTAAATAAGTTAGTTTAAAAGCCTAATTTAGTAATTTTTCATATTTGTTACTGGTTGTTTTATTTAGTGAAAGAAATGAATTTTGTAGACTTAATAAAGCAAAACACGTATTATGTTTATGTGTCTGAAGGAAGATCGTTACGTTATTAGCGTTCTTGGAACATGTATTAGACGCAAGCTGGAAGCGGGCGACTGCAAAACCCTCTTGACCGTCTTTTCAGACGCAATGGAGGCGTAGCTATTTTGGTGCAAGAAATTCGCCTTTTATTAGATGGCACAAAACCAATTAATGTTGACAACGGTCTACAATAATTCCTTAATATTAGAAAAACTTTGTCATCTTTCTTACTAACTTCCAAGTGATCTTCATATAGAAAATGATTTGTCAATTAAAAGTTCTAATTTAGTGCTTTCGAAAGAAATTTTTTCAGATGTTAATTTGCAGACCGGAAGTCCTTGAGAATAAATATAAAATGATACGTTATATATTTTAATAATAATATATATTAGGAATTAAATGTAATATAGTTATCAGATTAAAAAATTGAAAGCACTGTAGATAATACTGGACTCAGCCTAATAGAAAATGAGCAGGAATATAAAAAAATAGTAGCGGCGCGTACATGTCCCGTCATATTAACAAAAGGCGAGAATGGTATCTCATTGTTATCCCCATTTAAAAGATTGAAGTCTTTCTCTCTTAATAAGGAGTATTATATACTAATAAGTTTTTAAATCACGTTTATAAGGTATTATTATATCTTTATAAACTTATTTTATAGGTTATTTCTTAATGGTTACGCATAAGATCTTTCCTATAATACAACCATATATTTTAAGGCCAACTAATAAGAGTTTTTTTCTTAACTTGAAGTTCCACCAAACGTTTATTAATGAGTTATTTTTACACTAAAAATCTGTCAAAATAGTTTAAAATGGCACTTGAAACTCCAAAAGCAAATGTAAGGAAGTTTTAGGTGCTTACTATTTTGGGATTATCCTAAAAGCTATTATTTTAGAATATTTTTACAAGCCAATATAGAATAGAAACTATAGAAAGAATGTGAACTACACAGAAATCCCATTAAGTACTGTTACTCATAATAATAAAAGATACTATTGCACACTTTCAATATACAGTTAAGTTTGTCAACTGACTTTTTTATTATTCTGAAAGGGCCCATATAATAAACTCATTAGTTATTGTAAAAAAAAATTTCGTAATCGAGCCTTACAGCCTTGAAAATTTTTATAATCGATTTATCTTTACAGATCCGATTTTTAGACCTGCCACTTGTGCGCACTTCTAATCTCTCCAAGCAAATGTTTTTCTTTATTTATAAGTAATAATTTTTAAGGCCTATTCTAAAACACAAACTTTTGGTTTATTAGTTAAAATTTATTTGCAAAGTTAACTTTGCAAATAAATTTTATTACACTATTATATTAAGCTTTAACTCTGTTGTTACTAAACAAAATGCAGAAAACATACTTTTGAACTTGTTTCAGTATCATCTATATTTATTTCTCCTACTAAGTCTTTCTGTTCATAACTCTTAAACAACTCCGTCACTATCTCCCTACCAGAAACTTGTTTGTCCCGCTGCCGTTTTTTTTTTTCATTATCAGTGTCTTTTCCTTTTTCTATCACCATGAAAAAGGAAGCTAAGATTTACTCATTAAAAACTTTTATTAAGGCACTTCGACTAACAATCGGGGAATACTCAAAAGAGATGTTTCCGTTCAAGCACTTTCACTGATGTCTAGTCCTTTTTTCACACTAAAAAGCAAAATAAAAATTTTTAAAAACGTTTTATTTTGCACTCTGCTATATAAGGTTTAACAACGTAGTAGTAATAATAAACCAATTAAATTGTGTATTTATTTATATATAAAGTAATTTTAAGTGGTGCATTATATTGTTACTATTTCTAGTCATATTATCAAGATTACTTACCAGTTACACCCAGATTTCCCTTCATCTACCTACTAGTAAAAATAATTTTTTATTTACTTTTTATTATATTTCTACCACGCTCCTTTATTTTATGCTATTTTTTTAATATCGACTTTGAAAGAAAAAATAGTTGATTTTTTATTTTTGTAATAACTTTGTACAAAGCAATACTTAACGTTATGCATTGCAAACTAGAGTGTCAAGCGTCTTTGAAACGTCCACCTGCAATCGAATTATTTATTAACCAGTAAATACAAGTTACTTGAATCGCAGGAAAAAGGAGAGCAAAATATCAACGAACCGGAAAGCAAACCGCAAAGTTTCACTATTGAAAACTGAGAGAACCGTGAAACGGCTGTCGTCAAAAACATTTCGACCTCGCGAATGGCGAGGTCAAACATGTGCTTTGCGTTGGACCCGGTCAAGCACGACTTCCGGGCGCCGTCCGATATGTTTATCTGAAGAGGAAGAGAAAGTGAACTGTTTTGTTTATTACGAATATCAGTACTTCATTTTCAGCTCCCTCTTGGATGTAACACGAAACTATCTTTTCAGCAGTCACGATATTTATTTCTGGAGTAGATGAATCGTAGTTGCTTTTGTATGTCCTGGCCTTATGGTAAAAGTCTTGACGTATACAAGTGAAATTGCTTGAAACAAGAACGGGCTGGAATCTTTAATAAAAGAAACCCAAATTCTCAGCGGAGCACTCAGAATCGAGAGCCTTGCGAAATTCGTCTCGAACAAGTTTTATAGAGCAGATCTGCAAAAGCAACTTCTTGTAGTTGACTATCAACTCGCCGAAAAGCTCTTTGCACACAAATTCCCGGAAGATGCTTTTCTTCTCTAGCATTGGTCGGCACCTCGCCAGCTCCCCGCAGAACGTGCTCAGTCTGGCAGTACTCTCGAGAAAAGGGACGACCTGCAGCACCAGCAGCAAAGTAGCGTCCCGCAGCGATGGGATGAAGACAGATAGCAGCGAGACGCTTAGACGGTGGCTGTTGTGCGCTTCCCTTTTTCGGCCTTCCGCTGGGCTGCCGTATGACGTCACGTTGCCGCCAACCGCCCGCACAAGTTCCTCCGGCAATTCCACGTGAAAGGCGGCGGTTTCTTTGATATACTTGTTGTACAGGTACAAAATAAGCCCAGCCACTTCAGTGGCCGCTAAAATGCTGCATATTAGTGTTAACAGGTCTCTTGAATAGATTTAAGGTAACAGAATAGCAAAACGCACGTGTGTTCTGCTCACGGACCAGTAAGAGAAAGCCGGAAGTTTCCCGCAAAAATCTCAAAGTGTTTCCGCCTTTTATAGAATATGAATGTCTGAGAAAAGTCAAAAGCTCCTCGTAGAACTCCTCATCGAAGTTGATCAGAAACAAAAAGTCCTTAAAAACAGTAAAAGTTGAGTTACGAAGGCTGGAGAACAGGTGGTACTTGAAGCTAAAACTTGTAAAGCAGCCCCTCTTGTTTTAAGATCGAAGAAAAAACCTTAAAACTATTACTTGTAACAACTACAATTTCCTGTTTTCACTTGCTGGTGTGTCATGTTTTATAGTAATAAAAAATAACCCGAAAAACTTGTTGACGTAGGTGTTCGTAATTGGAGGGAGCCACAAATTCTATTAAGATAAGAGTTGCTTTGCTTGCGGGACGACAACTTTGTGAAATACTGGCAACCTCGATAAACGAACGAAAATCCGCCTTCGGGAAGAACTTGCGCGGTTGCTTTGCTGGTCCGCAAAGTAACGGAACTGAAAATGCGACAAAATAATTTCTTTCGACGTTGAGGTGATCCTTTTTTAATAGAAAATAAAGTATATATAAGACTTGGCGCCGTAAATATTTATAGTACTGAGATCAAAACGCGCACTAGCAGGTAAGACGGCCTTCACTTCTTCGTCTACAGAGTTCGACTTCTCTGTAAAGAGAATGTTATAATATCATTAAAGTTATTATTATAAGTTAATCTATCGAACGTTAACTTTGCGAAAGCGTTACTTCCGACGCAAAAACTAAATGCATTCCTGGCTTAAATTCTTCAGTCTCAGTCTCTTTAGCCATGATCTTTATTATAGAAACTTAAAAATATGAAAGTTGGGTATGTCTCACTTGCACGTTGAGGAAGCTGCGGGGTTAGCATCCCTACAGAGTCGAGAGGAGAAGCGTCTCCTTGAATCGTAAGCAAAGACGAGGAGCGCTGTCTCAAGGCAGGCAGAGATGCAGTACTGGTTGGTTCCGGCACCACAACGTCACTACACTCCACTTCCTCCAGCTGATGCAAAAAAGCGGTTGTACTCTGTTCTGGCCCACAAGAGACAACGCAGGGCTCTACGCTTTCGTCTAAGTATAAAAAATTTGAGGGTGTCGAGTGTGGTGCAACTGTTTCCTCGCGGACTGTCAAAGTTGTTAAAGTTTTAGGATCTATTGAAAAGAGGGATCAAAGAGGAGTAACTTATAAAAGAGATGCGGTAATATCAATATGAGGTAAATAAAAAAAATTAAAAGTTTAACCGGAATCTTTTTCAACGCTATACTGAGCAAATAAGGCAGGAAAATTTTTTCTCAAATGCTTTCCAAGCGGAGTATTCTCTGGAGGAAGGGAAAAGTCTGGACTAACTAACTCATTAGTTTGGCTCATATTCATAATATTGAAAAATTCAATATTATAATCTCAGGGGAGTCACAGAGGTTATGAGGTAAAAGGTAGACTTGTTATAAGAAAAACAACTCGAAGGGTTCCTTATAAAATCAGTTAACCATAACTTTTTAATACAAGAAATTTATATATGAGTTCCGACAATCTGGTAAATCCACCACTCAGTATTGCATCGAGATTCTCTTTCTGAGGAATAAAATAGAAAGGTCCTTATAATTAGCCAGCCACTTAGAGGTACAGTTTTTAAACAATTACCTAATGGCTATGATTTAACGCTATAATGAAGTTAAGAAGGATACCTTTCTTAAAGTAAATAAGTAAACTGTCTCCATGTAGAAATTCTGGTATATAAAAATTATCAACGCGAACGCCATTTAACTCACTGATTTAAAATTAATCCTTGCATGGTAAAAACTAGTTTCTCATTATATATATATAACTATTACATCTAATAACTTAGCCGTATAAATGTTTTGGTGATAATTAATTAGAGTTTATATTTGGAACCTTTTCGCCAATTACTTTAAATATAAATGACAATGAGAGATGCTGTATCCAACACTTTTACTTATGTTAATGTAATTTCAGCATTTTTCGATTATCAAGTGCCATGCTTTTCAAGACTAATGCTCTATAAATCCAAAAATAATTACTGAGCAGCAGAGAAATCAAAAGTACCCTTAAACCTAATATAATGGCTGTAGTAATTACTATTTGAAGTTATTTAAAATAATAAACTAGCGAATAAACTTCTCAGTTATAGTTTAGTCGGCCAAATAGCGCATAAGTAAAAAAGTTCTAAAAAGCTGATAATAATACAAACTATGAAATCAAAAGTAAATTTGTATTTATGACAGAATTATGACAATATATCACAAGATCATAACTACCTATAAGAACGCTTTTATGTTTGTTTAAGTTAGGAGATGCCTGTTTCCAGCGATTTTTAGTATGCATTTCTACAATTACTTCAGAATACAATAATATTATTGCATGAACTGACTTAACTTAAAAATTCTCTTAGTCTTAAGAATGGCCCTTCTTAGAGGGCTTAATATGTAATATTAGAGCCTTAGTAGAGATTTGTAGCCAGATCCAGTTCTTGTGCATATTATATTTAAAAGGCACTAATAATTCACTTCTGGGAGGTTTGAAAACTGTTAAATTTTGAAAAAGTTTCCTCTACAATTATTAATAATAAATATTTTTATGATACACGATTGTACTCTCTATAAACTTAACTTGGTGCTTAATCTTTTTTATTACCGATCGTTGATAATTGTAAATCATTTTTCAAAAGTTTCGGATATATTTTCGAAATTTAAAGGACATCAAGAGACGTACAATTGGAAGGTTTTGCATTCGAATTTTATTGGGAATTATTAACTTGTTTCAGCACATCCAATGAAAAAACTTTATTTTCCATATGAACTCTCTAAGAACAAATGATTTTTAAATTTTATAAATAAAATTATTTTCCCTTACTAAATGTTTACTCCTAAAAGATGGGTAAATTGTGCTAATATTGGTACGGACATGTGATATATAGATACATGGTATATGTACCGCGTGATATGAGCACGTAATATATTAGAGTTAACTACAATAGTACTCCAAACCACATTATGCATACTTACTGTAGTCTATCTCCTTCTTAACTATTGAAATTAAGTCTGTATAAAGTCTAGTGCAATATTTCAGTGCCGAAAAAATAGTACCTAACTTGCGGGGCACGTATTTTTTCGTCTCCGCGCTTTGTTAATTTGCTAATTCAAGTGTAAGTCAAGACAACTTTGGTATTAAAATTGTTAGCAGTTCAACCTTTGTTTGAGGTTGGCATTTAGCAACCTACCAGGCAATAATTACAAAATGATTCAAAATCAATTCTGTATAAAATATTATGTATATTAGAAAGAGCTTACACAATACCGAAATGGGAGGAATATTTATGAACCATACCAAAAAAAAAAATAATACGATCGTTTTATTAATTTACTTTTTTAAGGATAGCAAAAATCTTAAATAGTATCAACAATATCAGGCTTTGATTAATATTATTTTCGCTATTAATATTAGTTCTTTGTTTTAATATTACAGTTAATTTTTTTTTAGTTTAATACTAATGTAATGATTTCTACTATCTAAATTACTTTGTGAATAGTTGAAAAAATTAAAAATAGGTTTCATGTGATTTAGCCTAAAATTGAAGAATGCTCACAGTTAATAGAGTTAGATTGTTGGGTATTCACAACATACCTGAAAGCATATTGGGACTCATTTTTTTACAGCAGTGAAGAGAATTGGTTCAGAATCGAGGTTTCTGCACATAATGACCCACTAAGCCCGGCTCGTTAGAGTTCATCATTAACTTGATTATTGAGAATTGCAGTTTATTAATTAAAGACAGTAATAAGACAAGGTTGTGGATCCTATCTGACGATCGGGCTTTATATCTTCACCTATATTTTATTTTAAGATCTAGGATGCTCTTGGGTATAATTTGAAAATAGGCTAAAGGTAGCCTCTTATTGTTCTGGTCAAAAACTCCAGGCACTATTATTATTCTAAAGTAGAGTTAAGCCAAATATTGACAAGTTGACTATCATAATTTTCTTCTTTCGTTATAAAAATGCGTAACTTTTTTAAAGGGTTGATCATAAGCCTTCAATTCACGAGCTAACGTTCAGAAGGGGATAGTTAAGAGCCTTGAGCACTCTCACGTACATTTGTAATATTTATAAAAGGAATGATCCATGCTTAGAGAAGTTACATTTGAGCGTATTTTGATGTCTGAAATTATTAAATGCTTTCTCTAGGGCCCTTTGGTAACGTGTCCCATAAATATTAAAATCTATTTGAATACTGAAATGTTCCGAGACAGAACTGAATGTCTGCTAAGTTTTTTAAATGTCAATGGTTTTTGTAGTCTCAATGATATAATAGCTTCCACAACTTTTTCTGAGTAAGGTAAAAGATTGGTGGGTATTAGACTACAATGCTTTCGGCAGCTAAGGGGTTTTTGGAAGGATATTAATCTTGGCTAATCTCTACATATTTTTAGAGTAAGTAGGAGCTGCTAAATTCGGAGGAAATTCAATTTGTGGTAAAATCGACTTAAATAGGAGATTGTAGTGTGCTTACACGAGCTCTTTATTATAAAAAAAGTCGGTAATATCCTATACTTGGGTAACATTTGTCTCCCAAGCCCCGAGCTAGACTCTTGATCATGCTCAAAACCGTGAAGAGTAACAGGCCTGGAAAATTCATTTGCAACGGTTTTAAATTTAGGAACGCGTCGTCGCAAGCTATCATCGAGTTTAGTTAAGAAACATCAGTGGCGAAAAAGGCAGTGCGACCGATTAGAAAATCTGCGTCGCCAGCGAATCGCAGCTTTTCCTCCCAATGTGAGATTTGATATTAGCAACGTCTCCGTTGCTATTTCTACGAAACAATCTGTGTCCAGAAAGAAGCCAAGGATGTAGTAGAACTCCGCATGGAACATCCCAGGTTGCAGTTGAATACAGCCACACTTTCGCTTTCCCGTGCGATAAAATGCGGTTTGTTGTGGTAAATGACACTACAAAACTCGTCTGCGCTTGGAATATACCGGCTTGTAGTCTGTGATCGACGGTTTTAATGCAGGTGACATTAAACCAAAGTTTTAGTTATCAATTTTGTCAAAAATATTTAACAACAGAAAAGTTTCTTCTTTTGGTTAGGTAGGCGACTTGTGCCTTTACGTTTATTAAAAAGGATTTGCTGCGCGTACTGCACGCTCTGGTTACCCTGCGGGTCTCCACAATGTATTTTAGCCTTATATAAATGACCAGAGCTCGAGCGGACGTGCTCAAAGCGAATATTTTTCATACTCCGAGATGCATCTGCCTATTAATTCTCGCTTTACAAGTCGACTGTACAATGAAGTACTCCGCAATAACTTAGCATACTTTAACGTCAACATTTGCAACTTTATCTTTTGGCTTTTGTTGCCTGGAGTAGTCATCAGTCTCACAATCAACGCAACAAGAGCAAAATACTTATTTTACAAACGAACGCTTTGCGTTCTCGAAATGTTGTCGACCTTCAACGGCAAGAAACTTTATTTGAAAAATCTATATGATAATCTATGAAAAAGTGACGTAGCCTTAGTGTAATAATTAAGGTGGCAAGGGCCCAAACATAACGTTATACTCTTCCTTGTGCGGTAAAAAGAAATTATTGCCGCGCAACAGAAGAAGACTGTATGTGTTGTGCAGGAGGCTGAACTTAACCTACCCGTCCGGTACCAGGGGCTACGCTTCGTTAACCTCTCTGCTGTAGCCAAAGCAATCTTGCGCCTTCTACGAACTCATCGTCTATCAGATTTCACCACTGCAAGCAAAGAGCTGGTCACGGCCTCAGAAAGCGGTGCCTTTGCCCCCTTACAAAAGGTTGCTGAACAGACACTAAAAATTTTTTCCAGAAAAGAACTCACTAATGCGCCATGGGGCAGGGTGTAGTACACTCCTGGGTGATGTGAGTAATAAGAGATTCATTTCAACATGAAAAACAATGAAATGTTACTAGAGCTGTTCATGAGCGGAGCAATCGAGATTCGTTAACTTTATTAAACTCTAGGAAAACGCCATAAAAAAATTAAAAAAGTTAGTTTATTACACTTAACAAATTCAAGCTAACAAGAACTATTTGTTAGATCTTCTTCTACGCAAAGGTAAGGCATAAGTATGCTAAAAAAGTTAACATAGACAACTCTTAAAGGGGTACTAGAACTTAAAAAGTTCAGTTTGGTAAAATAAATAAGGTTTGAAAGTAGACCATATAAAAATAGCAAAAGAAAGGAAGTGACTATATTTACTGTTACTTGAATACAGAGATTCAACAGTTTGTGTTTTAAAATTATTTTTTCTAAATTTTTTTTTTACTTGCAAATGTAAATAAGAACGAAGGAAGGATAAAAAATATTTAAGATCACAAAAATTTAAATTAATAATATAACTCCGTGAACTCTTAAAAAACAACTTTAAAGAAATTCTAACAAACCTCGATTATTTCTTTATGAAATTTTCACTGCACATAAATACAAGTGATCTCAATAAATTTATATCAGTTATTTACTGAAAATATAAAGATTTTAACTTAACATCCAGAGTTTATTAATTTTATAACCAAACCCAGAATATAAAAGTACTTAAAAGACTAGGGGTAAGTTTTGCAAGTAAAGAGGAAAATGGTATAAAGGTAAAACCTTCTCAGCCGGAGAAATAACTGATGACTTGTCTCGCGGATCCCAAAATGCAAAAAGCTAAAATCTGAAATCTGAACCTTTAACAGTGTCAATACCCCTCTACACCAGAAAATCTAAAGGAAGATCAAAAAACAGGAGTGCGAAGAGTGCGTCGTCCGGGAATCGAACCCGGGTCCTGCATATGGCAAACGCAGAGGATAGCCACTACCCCAACGACGCTTAAACCGCTGGTTGCCCTCTCGTGATGCCCTTATACCTTTTGAATGCCATTTTTAAAGTATGCACATGCATAATAACTCGCTTTTTTTAGTCTTTTAGTAACTTTTTATTATTTTGGTGTTTTGTAAAGGTATATTCCTTTCCGTTGTTCAGATCTACTAATAACTTTATTTTTAATATTATAATCGATTAATAACTTATTTTTGTAAATAACTAAAGATCTTGTCCTCTTTTTAAAAGCTCTGACTGTGAAACTAGTTTAATTGAAAACTTATTTAATAAAAAGGAGTACTTATAATGATAAATAAAGTAAAGTTTGTATATGCTCCTAAACGCACATATAATTAATAAGGGGCGTGTTCGTTATAACTAAATTTTCTTTTCTTCTCAACGCTTGCCTAAAACTTCTATTTATTTAAAATAACAAGGGCCAAGAGAGAAAAATAACACTCAAATCTTTTTAGTCACTTACTAGATAAATAACTAAAACTTGGTGTCCGTTAAAAGGACCTCTTTATTGACGCAGCAAAGAGGAAGGCGCTTCTTATAACGGGAAATGCAATACGCAGCCGACACCGTTAATTTTAAGCAGCTTGGAAACCCGTGGTGTTTTTAGGTTAAACACCTGGGGGTCCTTGTAGATTTTAAGCTGTCGTAGCGTCCACGGCAAGGCGGTAACTCAGATACTATATCCTCTACTATGCAGCAAAATTAAGCTTTAGTTGCGCATTAGGCGAAAGCTTTATGTGCTGTGCATTCGGCCAATTATGACATATGCATCTCTTGCCTTCAAGTGCGACAAAGTAAACAGCTGCGCCTTTTAACAAACGGTTCGTGGTTTTGCGTGCAATGAAACACTCTCCCACAAACTACAAATATTGAGTTGCTGTTCACACTCTTTAAAACTGAAGCCGTCGCCCTCTACGAACGGATAGCTGAACATGCTAGTCGCCTTTTAGCGAAGAAACTCAATTAAAAATACTGAAACGGCGCACTACACAGCCGTCCGCTTGACGTACTCTTAGCATGACGATTGAAAGATAAGCTGCCGGTCTAAATTGAACGTAAAATACACATGTTAGGATAATAATTTTACTTGTATCGTGGACGACTAAAAATTCTTTGAGAGCTCGTGGATTCGAGGTTATTAACCCGATTGAGCACCAGGAAACGTAATTTATAATAATGAATTACCAGAACTCAGGGGTCCTACATTGGAAAAAGTTCATCGGCTTTACGCTTCCGTTGATGTAAGCTTTCGGTCGTAAACGGATCTTATTAAAATTTTCAAGTATAAAGTAAGGCTATTAGTCTAAAGAAGGGAATTCTATTAGTGTAATCTTATAGATACACGTTTCACGAGTGTTGTTTAGAACATTACGAGCTAGAAATGTTGAAAAGCCAGGAAGTTTTCTGTTGCAGGTTTTCATAAACACTAAAAGTAGTCATATAAAAGACTTGATTAGCGGAATTGGGGAGTATAACACATAAGAACATGGGTTAATTGCTAAAACTATTTTTCTTATTAAAAGAAAGTAGCCGCTTCGCAGTTTGTTTAATATTGCGTCACTTCCATTTACTGAGTTGTTAGAAAATCAATAGCGTTTTACTCCAGCCAATTTTACTTATATTTAAAAGTTATAAAGAAGGTCTAAGTGGGCAAGGACTGAGCATCCAAAAGAAGCTTAGCGTCAAGTAAAGGATAATTTATTCAAAAAAGTTTTTTAACAAGAATTTAATGTTGTCCGTAAATATATTTTGTTGCTCTAAAATTTAAGTTTATTTAATTTATGGGCAGCCGCTTTTGCTAAACGGTCAGCTTTATTGTTCCAAAAAGATTTCCAGTCGGTGGCATCCGTGTGCGAATATACATGCGCCCATAACACTTTGCGCTCCCCTAAAAACGGAATTTAAACAAAAGTTGGACATACAAGCAAAAGTATAAAAACAAACCCTTTAATTGTAAAAACTGATCGATCAAATCTTTATTTTTAACGGGCTGCTTATTAGTTGTGAGCCAGTCATTTTTCTAATAATAAATACTGAAGCCCCGGACAGCCTCGCTCAAGATAAGTAAAAGATACCATCCATCCATAAATCCACTCTTGAAAAGTCTTGACGAGCAGATTGCTGTCTGTGTAGATCAACAAAGCTAACGCAAAAAATAAGGCTCCAAACTCTTCTGTTGCGAGGAAAAGTTCACCACGTTTCATGGTTGGATCTTCCAAATTCACCCTCTTCACAGCCTCAATAGCAGCCATCGTTTCTGCCCTGACCAAGTTTATGACGTCAATCGTTAAACACAAGAACATTTATCGCTATAGACTAGATATGCACACTGAGTTCGCTGATTAAAAAATAAATGTCTGGTTTTACCTATTTATAGTTCTTACGGAGGTTTGAGGGATCGCCTTCGCTATATTCCAGCGTTCATTATCAGGAAAAACACAAGCATAGCCTAAAAGATGAAGTGTTAAAATGACGTTGTTTGGTAGTAAATAATTAAAAACCTGCTCTACAGTTTTTTAGGCCGTTATTCAAAGCAGATCCATCACAAAATGCTACAAAAGGGCGGCTGCCTCCCAGTAAAAAATAACAAAAAATTGGATAAAAAGAGGTTAACTGAGTCTAGCTAACTAAATTAAACTTAAGACAATATTTAATAGTCACGCTAGCTTTATATAATAAATTTATTATAAATAGATTCAGCCAACACTAAAAAATAATACTTTAAAATTAAAAGTATAAGCCTCAGCTTTTTAGTTGTCATTATATATAAACGGCGTGTTTTCACATAGAGTCATTACTATCAGTCTTTTGCACATTTTTGGGTGTTAAAGGTAAAAAAGGTAAGTTAACTCGTTGAAGAGACTCCGCTCCACCAAAGATCTAGTAATTAATATTTGTAATAAACCAGACAGACGAAAGATGAATTCTTAGAAACCGTAAATTTTTCAAAATTTGGGTAATGTAAAAATAAATTCATTTTTCAGTTTCTTCACAAATAAATATTTATCGACAGGAATTCTGTACATAACAATATAACCTCGCTATACATAAACTAATATAACGCAAAAATACCTTCATAAAGTCAAAGTATTACAGTCAGGCACTTCTGTTGATATTGTAAAGTACCGCTTAAAAACAGCAGCTTCTGATAGCCTGAACAGACAAATAACGAAAGGGCCCATCGAAAACCCCACACCAATATTGGTAGCCCAAAATGGTATTGGGATCCTAACCTAATCTTCTGTATACACCCACTCATGTGTAATGCAATAAATCTTAATAGATTTAATTTTAATGCTAAAGATCTCTTAATAACTACCTTCAACTTAGATTTACTTAAAACCTGAGGTGCTTACATAGAACTGTTTGAAAGGTAAAGTTAATGAGTTTACGTTACTATTAGTAAATTTTACCAAAAAATGTATAATAATTTAGTAATATTGGTTTTTTTAAAACTATACACAACGTTCTTAATGCAGATAAAACTAAGATCTATTTAGTAATGTATTTTTACTAGTTTCATAGATGTCACTATAGGTCGTCAGAGGTTCACCAACATGACAAAATGAGCAGACCATATTAAAACTTAGTTTAGTGTCTTAAATAATTAGGTGTGTTATTATGATATGCGTTCTTTGTCATTGATACCGCAAAGGTTATACTATTTTTATTAAGTTATTGTTTACCATACATACTTAGGCAAATTATTTATTCAAATATAAATTAAGTACTCTACCTCAGTAACATAAATTAGAATTTTAACGTTAACGTGGTCTTAAATACGTAATGTTAACAATAATAGAAAAGAATATTATATAAAAAAATAATTAAAAATAAAAAATATTTTTCCTTAAATAAGGTAATAAGAATAAAAAAATTGAATACTCTTTTAAATAATAATATAGGATGCAAGCCATGAGAAAACAGTAAAATGTACGGTTCTCCATACTTAGGAATTTAATAGTAATTAATAATATTATATAATGGAGAATAAATTTTAACGCATATATTATAGGGATGCAAAGCTACGCCAAAAGTCCTTATAGAAAATATGTATTGCCAATTAACGAACTTTTTTAAGTTATATTATTTTGTAATCCAGGACAGCCCGGTTTAATATTTAGAAGTAGGTGTGAAACGATCCAAAGTAACATCATTTTCTTCTTATTTTCTAGCCTTACATTTTTGTTTAGACACTAGAAATTATCCTTAGACTACGTGTTTCAAAAAAAAAACTATTATCAAGGTTTCTATTAATTTTTTTTTGAGCTTTTAGACACCTTGGTAATGCACACACCTTCTAGACTTTAAGCTCCTAATAAACTAGCCTATAACGATTACTGACAATATCCCGGCCCTATAGACTAATACAATGTAAATCTTGTCCTCTAGACGATCAAGCTAAAAACCGCTCCACAGCCCTATAGCCTGAAAGGACGCCGCGTAATAAACAAAAATCATTATTTTTTTATCACTGGCATACTACTGCAGTTTTTCATAGGACCTAAAGTTCATTGATCTGAATTCCCCTCTTCCGAAGGGGTTAGCACACGAGTGCCCACGACTGTACGCTCTTTATAAAGCTATAATGACTGTCCGAAAGGACTAAGAAAGCGAAAAATATTGGGCCTGCGCCTCCGCCATTCTGTCTAGTGTGTGGAAAACCGCCAAAAGTTACCTCCGGGAGAGGCAGCCTTAGGCACAAGGCTCGAGGCCAAGTGGAGACACTGGCCAGCACCACCGCCAGCTAGGCCTCCTCGTTATGAGTTCCTCAACCAGAAGGGAGGAGGCCTTCCTTATCTTACTATTTATTAAGCTTAAAATGAATATATATATATAATATATATACAATTTTAAAAAATAACCTTGATATAATAAATCTAATAAAGTTAAATATGGAAGAATTACTAAAGACGTCTATTTATTCAATTAGTTACTCTCTTTTTATATACTAAATTTCGGATACTGTCGGCCAATGAGCGTCCTTGCTTTTATAATTATTTTAATCAAATTTTTTTTTACAAGAATTAATTTTCTCATCCTATTACCTGACTTGCTAGGACCATTCTATATTTGGCAATTTTCAATTTCTATTTTTGTGTTTTTGTTTTTGTATTGACTTAAATATTTGTTTTATCAAAATCTCTTAGCTAAAATTAATTAAAGCGCAAAGCGCATACCCTCAGTTTGAAAGTTATCTTGTTTAACTGAGCAGTGTAAGTGGATCATACCATTAATAGTTTCACAGGCTCACAGTTAAGTGTTTTGGCAGTCTTTTATTTTATACATATACTTTATTGTATTGTGTTACTTTTAAACTAGTTTTTTGTGTTAGTTTTCTAATTTAAAATTTATTTAACTCTTAGTTACTAAAGAAGAAGAAACTGGGTTGGTCAGAGAACTTGTTAAGTGTTAGCCAACCCAGGGCACGACGTTAAGGCGACGGGTAAAAGCGGAGTTTTATTCCAGCACTCCAGGTCAAGTGGAAGGGGCAACCCCTTTGATAAGCTTTCTCTTGCTAATTAAAACTAAAGGGTGATGGTAGAGCATAGCAACTCTAGTTTGCTTAAGTGTATATCCTCATTATATAAATGAGGAATGAAATGATGAGTAACTACTTCGCCTCTAGAGCCGAATAGTTAAATTGAATTCAGTATAAGGGGTACTTCACAAAAGTTGAGCACAAATTTTTAGCAGTTATCAACTAATAAAGTTGTCAGTCCCAGGTTGGGCATTTTTAAGCCATAAAATTTATCAATTATTTGAACAGGTTTTCTTGGTAAAAGGCGAAGGCTAACAAATTTGCTTTGCTCCAGAAGGTTGAAACATAGCTTATAGGCTTGTTACTTTTTTGACTATAAAGAAGCGGTACAAGTATAAAAAGTTAAGTGAACGTCCGCATAGAGGTGATAGAAAATCATATACGGAGGTACTAAATTCTAACAAGATGCGTTATAACAAGATAATTACAAAATTAAATTAAAAGCTAATTAAATTAACCAAAAAAGGATTTCCAATTCCGCGATACCGATATTGATTGGTAGTTAGAATTTATTTTGTTTAGTATGCAAAAAAATTTAATGTAAAAAAGGGAAATTGATTGGTATAAACACCAAGAAGGTTTTTTTACAATAAAAACATAAAAAAAACTTTGTTGTATTATTTATTATCATATTGTTTTTGCATATTATTTTAATTACTATTATCTATATTCCTTTTTTTATTTTTTCATAAAATTTAATACATTAATTATTTATACGCGAATGCTATTATTATAACACGCATGAAGCCATAAAAACATATCGTAGTTCAATTTATAGAGTGCTTTAATAATTTTTTAAGGTTCTCCAGAAATCTTTACGACATTGGAATTGTGGTGAGAATAAAATTCTTTCACAGCACGCAGGATTAACAATAGCTGTGAACCTAAAGACTACGTCTTAATTAAAAATTAACTTGCATTATTATTTTAGATACTAATAATAAGATATGTTCATGGCATTAATTCCGATTTCCCTTATTACTTTAATTTTTTTTTTATTTTAGATAATTATTTTTTTTTTTACATTTATTACTGTTGGCCAAGGAGGTTTAATAAAGCTTGAGGGTTAGTGAAGACCAATCAGGGTTATAATTTAAAATAAATGTAACACAATGGTTGAGAGGGCTAGCGCCCGTAAAAGTAAAGTCTAAAGGATATTTTGAATTCTAACAGCACAGGTATATAGTAACTGTGACTACGCGCTTGTCCGAGACTAGATCTTCCCAGGGTAGTACGAAGAAAATTTATAAAAGACATGGATTTTTGCCTAATCCCTTTCTACTAGTTAGTTAAGAGACAACATAATTTAAAAGAAAGTACAATCCGAAGGTTAGTTTTTAATAACATTACAGAGAAATCAAACACTGCCGGCTGCTTGAAACACTTGATTTCCTATAAATCGCATCACTTGTCTAAGCGAGCAAATCACTAAATTTTAGAGGTTAACTCCATACATATATAAATAAAATTAAATTATAAGGAAATTATTGGGTAATCGTGTTGCCAACAACTCACTACACCAGTAATTTCATAATCTTAGCTGACTAAGCTCCTATTAATAAACTTAAGATATTGAAGATTTTTTATAAAATAATTCAATCAGCCAAGAAGATGAGCTACTAAGACAAAAGATTACAATAAATTTACTTAACAATCTTCGTAAGTCTTTTAGGTTATTTGAAAAGTTATAAGAATACTTAGCTACACCCAACAAGTTATTTGCTTGAGACCTAACTTATGGCACAGGCGACCACGACATTTTTTATTTATAATTCAACCAAAGCAACAGTGTTTAAAATCTTTACAAATTAAATCCTAACTATTTTATATCATTTTTAAAAAATAAATGTCTAATAAAGGTGGAGGAGAATTCACCACTTTGACTCTCGATGTTTTTGTGGTATCCATGGAGAACCTCTATCTTTAGGGTCAATTAGTTTGAGGTCTTATTACTATCATTGTTATTCTGTTTAAGTCCAGAGGTCTTGAACTAATAGATAATGACTCGATTCTAGAACAGTTAAGTTGTGATAGGATGGTTGTTGTTTATAAGGCGGTTAGATAAGTGCGTGTTTTACCAGATAAATTATAAATTAACACACACTAGTCTAAATTAACTATTGAAGAGATTATATTAAAGTTTTAACTGAGATAGCATTGCTGTCAGTTTAAGAACTCGACTGAAACTCCTAGCTACTGGAACTGCTGGTTACTAAACCCATTTAAAAATTTTTGGTCACGTAAGAAAACTTTAAATGTTAGATTTGACTTGTACGACACAGTACCCAAATCCTAACTAACTTTCTGTCTGTATATGAACTCTCATTTCTTTATAAGAAGCATTTGTCGTAAACGGTTGTTGTAACTTTCGAAATATAAGCGGCATATACGGATCGGTAATAAACGAATTAAGACTCGTAAAGAACGTTGAAAGTACATTAACTACTTTAAATACAAACTTCGCAACTCCGACCGAAAATTATAACACTCTAAGAATAGTAATTCGCCAAACTGGCTAATATGGTCATTAAGCTAGAAATTATCAACGAAAAAGCAATAAATAAGACTTAATACTTAAACTATAAAGTCGAGGGTATTTAGGTTACTTTAATAATTAGAATTTTTTGTATTACTTTTAACCGTAAAGCACTACCGACTTTGAAATTCAATGGTTCCGAATCATGAACTAGTAAGTTTAGTTATGATTAGGTTATCATTATTCTACAGTTATCCTCATTATATAGTAAAGCTTATAAACCAATGCCGCCTTCTAAATTAACTAATGAAGAGAGCTTCTTAAATAGACCTAACTTCTTAAGATTAATAAAGAACTATCCAACTAAAATTACCATTATATCATGACTTTGGGAGCTAAACTTCCAAAGTTAAGCTTCAATATTTTAATTATATTTATACACAGAAGCACTATAATGCAACATCGAGGCTGCGGAGCCCAGGAATAATGACTTACATTAAGGTCGAGAGCTAAAAATAGTAGCATTGAAAAATTTTCTAATAAAATATTGCTTACCTATCTAGGGGAACTAGCCTAGATTTGTTATTTTTTTTTAAAAACTGTTATTGTGCACTTCTAAAATTCTACTTGAGCTCTGATAACCTTGCGTAAATTTTAGAGCACCTTAGGAATTTCAGCTGAGCCTCTTGGGAAGACGGTAGTTTAAAGATGTACAACGTAGCTAAGCTGTCTAATGAAGACTTAGCAAACCATCTAGTTGTAAGCTCAAATTAATCATTAGATTAGCTATCGTAATCCTAGCATTCTATAAAGATGATATAAGAACGCCAAAATAAAACTTGCCCGGTTTCTTTTTCGATAATAAATTTAGTACTTAAGATTAACTTTTTATAAAAAAAAGGATCTAGTTAATAACAAGAATTATATCAAGACACTATTTTTATAAACCTAAAAAAAATAACTTGGTAAATAGCCTTAATATATGAGCTTTAAGTATTTCCTAACTGACCACTTAGTTTGCCTAAATTTTCCTTCATAAATTAAGATAAGCCTGTCAAACTCTCTTTGTAGTACATCTTGAGGGCTTGGCATTATTATAAAATCCGCTAGTCAAGCATTAGGATAATGCGAAGAAGAAAATAATAGTTATCTAGCTTTTCTACTAAAGTGAGATCCGTACAAAAATTAGAATCTAAGTATTATACCGTGGTGTAATTATTTATTTATAAATGGCGTTTCCTGATGCTCGCTCGAGTTAACATTTTGAATACACGCACTCCCAAACAGGTTTTTAGTCGTCCACGAGAGCAAGTAGGGCGATTAGCGTGTCCAGCTATCCGTTCGTAGAGGGCGACGGCTTCATTTTTAAAGAGTGTGAACAGCAACTCAATATTTGTAGTTTGTGGGAGAGTGTTTCATTGCGCGCAAAACCACGAACCGTTTGTTAAAAGGCGCAACTGTTTATTTTGTCGCACTTGAAGGCAAGGGATGCATATGTCATAATTGGCCGAATGCACAGCACATAAAGCTTTCGCCTATTGCGCAACTAAAGCTTAATTTTGCTGCATAGTAGAGGGTATAGCATCTGAGTTACCGCCTTGCCGTGGACGCTACGACAGCTTAAAATCTACAAGGACCCCCAGGTGTTTAACCTAAAAACACCACGGGTTTCCAAGCTGCTTAAAATTAACGGTGTCGGCTGCGTATTGCATTTCCCGTTATAAGAAGCGCCTTCCTCTTTGCTGCGTTGACGGAGAGGTCCCATTGACGACACCAGTTAGCAAGCGCCTCCATATTAAATTGTAGGTGCTCACATAATAAAACGGGTAGTTTGAAGACAAATAAATCGTTGTATCATAAGTGTAAATAGCGAACCCGCGCGTGAGGGTGGACTAACAATGATATGTCGCTCGTATAGCGGACTGTTAAAGCGGTGATAGAAGAGATCCTTGCCAGACTAGCTGTAAGATAGCGAGGCCACAACAGTGCAGCGTCCACTTGCACGTCTGAGACACAACTGTTTAAGGTACAACTTAGGAACTTTTTGAAGGCTTGTACTTGCTTAACCGGCCACCATGCTATGAGGGTTAAAAGTCTTCTCAACATCGAGAATGACAGCGCCGGTAGCTTTTTAAAAAATAAAGGCTCCGGTCGCCTACAAGGATAGCAAAGAATGAGTTGGGAGGCTGAGTGTATCGTGCGAAATTTAACCTATAACTCTAAAAACACGAGCGTCCACCATCGCTTTGAAATGATTAAGTATTACTGCTTCAGCTACCTTATTAACTGCCAACAAAAGACTGATGGATCAATAGTGGCGAGGCTCTGATGCCAGTGGCGGTTTCGTAACATCACTACTACCGCCATTTTCTATTGAGAAATTGCAGATAATCAAAACTGATTAGTAATGCCGTCAGGGTTAGGCGCTTTTCGCTTCAGTAGTAATTTACCAATTGATTTGAGAGGTTAAAAAATACATTGTTAAAGTAGTGCAGTGGTATAACTACTATCCTAGTGTTAATGCTCAATTTTTAGTATCTTCTTCGAGTTACTACGAAATGATATCCTATTTGATAGTGCTATGACTTAGTATATACTATATTTAAGGCCTCAATAGTATCTTCTTAGGCGTTGTATATGAATTCTATAACTCCTTTTCGAATACGCTAGTTCAAACCTAACCAACTACTCTCAGTTAATAAACTTAATTAAGGCCTAAAGAGGGTCAATTTGGATATTAAGGCCCTCCCAAACTTAAGGCTGAGCGACCTACTTACGAAGTGATCTTCAATACTGTTGCTTATTAAGCCATCATATCAAGATACTTTTTAGATAACTAACGTAGGTCAGCTGCCCGGTTCAAAGCATTTTAGTACGTTGAGGAACCCACAAACGTAGCAAACTTTAGGCAAAGAACTGTATGTTTAGCTCCTTACAACACTACCAAGTATAAAAAAGTTGAATGTTTACATATTCTCTCAAAGCTAGTTGGCTTTATTCAGCTGCCTTTTTAGCTAAGTTACTTAACTTGTTTAAATAATAAAGGCTTTTACTGTCCCCCTCAAGTTTTGCATGCTCCCAATTAATTGGCCGCTGACCTAAAAAGACGGCCGTTAGCAACAGTGATAAAGGGCCACTGCCAGAGGCTAAAAACCTTTCAGTTCTAAAAACTCGGATAAAAGATCCTTGTTTTTAACGGGTCGCCTCTGTGAATTTCTCCAGTCATTTTTCTTGTATAAACAAATAAGAAATTCATAAAAAATAAAAAAGGAAGTGTTGAAAGTACCTTCCAGTTAATAATCCATTCTTTAAAAGAACGAATAATAACTTGATTACGAGTATAAATGCGCAAAGCTAATAAATAGAAAAACTTTTGGATTGATAAAGATATAAAATTGCAAATAAGGTACTTTTATCTTTGAGAGGATCCGCGTTATTAATTATTTTAACTGCTTCAATAACAGCCGAAAGATCGGCCCTAAAAGATTACAAGTTATAACTTTATTATTGATCGAGAGCTGCTTAAGATATCCAGCAACGTTGTTTGTATTAAGTACCAACCTGGTGTTGGTTTTCCTGGAAGTATTATATAATGGCTTTGCAACGTTCCAGTTTTCGTGCAAAGGAAAGTAACAGGCATAACCTAATTACTAGCGTATTTAATTAATAACGGGAACTATAAACAAGAAAACCTGCTTTGCATTGCGGAGTTCCATTACGCAAGGCAGACCCTCGACAGAAAACAACATATTCAGAGGAATGTTCTAACAAAACACAAGATAAAAACTGTATTATAACTTTACAAGCAATACGCTAATAAAGTTCAATTACCAAGCGACTTGTTTTCTGGTTTTTTTGAAAATTTAGGTGGAAACTTGGTGGAAAAATTGGCTCTGAGGGAGCTTTCAAAAGGCTTATAGTTACGTATTTAAAAACCTTTAAACAAAACAGGTTTTATATTATTTATAGAGGGCTTACCAATGTATGCCTTTGGAAAAGGCGATTTAATAAAGCGAGACCTACCATTTTTAAGTTTATTTTATTTATTCTTAAACAAGAGTATAGCAATAAAGAAAAGTATTATTGATACAACTTAAAATGAAAAATAACCTCCAACAGGCCAAGTCATAACAATTGAGATAAAATGGACATTTTTCAGGTTGTAAATCAAAAAAATGAACACCACCTGGTTACGTGCTCGTGTAAATTTAGCCAATAGCACATTTTGTAAAAGAACACTAAAAGAAAATTTACAAAACAGTGGAATTAACCCTCATAAGCAGGTCTTCTATTCGCCGAGGCTACGATAAATTACTCGTCTCTAAAGTCGTTGGCATAGGCGATTGTATTGGGGTTAATTATCAACGCAGTAAAGAGGAGCTCTTCTTAACAAAGGAACGCATTGCGCCGATAGTGGCAAGCTCGGGTCGTCGAGCAAATATTTAGGGCGTTCTACTGTTTGGTGTAACAAAAAAAAAAAAGACTGCGCGTATCATGCATTCTGCCGATCATGTCATACGGCCTGCTGCTTGGGTATACGACTCGATGTCTCCCCCGCTATAAGGGTACAAAACATAAAAGTTGTCTCTTTAACAAATACTTGTGGTTTGAACTGCATCTCGAATACCACTGGTGAGAGTTAAAAGCGATAGTAGTCGCCCTAACTACTATATAGCTTGGCACGCTTGTTGTCTTCTGACAGAAGAACTCTTTACAAGCCATGGAATGGCGCACATCACAGCTGGCCATGTGAGACTATTGAGCGAGAGTTGCTGGGTGCAAAAGGGGAGTTCGAACAAAACACGTAATTATTTGGGTCGTTTTCGAGGTTGAGGACGAAACTGTAGGAGAGCTCGAGTATTTGACGTTTTTAGATTTTAATTAGGCGAAAGAATAATACATTAGCAAATAAATGAATGTGGTTTTGTACTCCTAACATTTTCTTAAGCTAAGGAAGAGCCTTTCTATTAAGTTCACTTCGCTCGACATACCGGGGCTGATGTACACTTTATTTATTATAGTTGTAGGAGAGGTTAGCTTCTATAGGATGCCCAGGGGGACTAGAGGCTTTGTTGCCCTATCCAACCTTATTAAATATTACACATTCGGCCATTCCTCCAACAAACTTTAAATACCTACTTTGTCTTTTTAACTTTGGAAACGCACTGTTTCAGAAAAAATTGATTCATAAATGACATTAGAAAAGTTTAATTTAAAACCTGAATCATAAAAGTTATAAGTAAGCTTGATTAAAAATTCAAAAAGGACTAATTCCTCTTTTTAATCAATTGTGGATATAAAGCAAACTAAATAAGGACACTCCTATTATCTTCACCAGATTTCCTTCCACAATTTTCGTACTCTGCTTTAAAAGTCATGTTAACCTAGTTTACGAAACTATAAACTCAGCGCTATAGTAATGGCTTCTCTTAAAGACGTGCAGCCGTAATCTCTGCAGTCCTAGCCCTCCTTATATCTATTCAAAAGGACTTGTTTGTTAAACAATATTTAGTGAAGCGCATCTAAAAAAAAAGTTAAAGCAGGATTCTTTTCCTTTTATTTTGTACTTTTACGCCTGCAGGCCCGATTATTTTTTCAATTTCGTTCACCCATCTTGCAGGTGAACTGCAACCTTTATTGGCCCAAAAAGCAAAAACTTAGCTTCAAACGGCTACATTATTTCAAAAAATTGTTAAAACATGGATCTATCAAAACAAGTAATTTTTAACGCCACCAAAAGTAAAAATTTTTGCTTTCAAGAAGTAATGACCTTTGAATAACTTAATCATAGTTGTAACTACGACCCCAAGCCGTGATAGACTCATATGGGTGTGTAACAATAGGGTAAACTGATCCAAAGTATATATTTGAAAAAGGTAAATTAAAGAGTGAAGCTCTTTTTCCTAAGTTGCAAGGAGTTAGTTGGTTACTTGACTTTTAAATTCAGCTTTCTACAACTTTATTATGAGGTTCATAATGGACTTACACTTTTATTTATTTTATATACATTATGAACCGTAACTTGGATCAGCTACCAATTAGTTAGCCATAACGTCGATATCCCGAAAATTACATTCAATATTTAACCCATGTATACATAAATTCTTTTAGTTTCAAACAAAGTACTAATTTGTGGTGTAGCCTCTAACTAACTATATAACTTAGAATTATGAAACAGTCTAACATATACTAATACTATTAATTAGGGTTAATTTCTACTGTCAGTACTGGCATACAACTGAACAATCTTTTGAAGACCTTAAATCCCATACTCTGTATTTTATCGCCTAAAAAAGGATTAAGGGAAAAACTACCAGCAGTGGTAGTTAAAAACCGGCCACTATCCACCACCTGGAAGGCGGTGTTGAGTACTAAACCTGAAGTCTCATGAAGACACACCGACGAGAATCACTGCCAGTCAGGTCGCTTTGAGAACAATTTTAGCTATAATAACATATAAAACACCCCCTAATTGGAAAAAACCCTCTTTTATAGTTGCACGTTTCTACCTACCGTAGTGTGTCATGTACTAAACAAATAAATAATATTAACTTACTACAGTTTATTAAAATTACAAAATACTTTAACGCCAAATAATATAACTTGCCACAGTAAAACTAAGATTATTTTCCCAAATCCCAATAGTTCAAGTGATTAGGGAACACTAGCCAGTGTTTACCCCTTAATAAATCTTAATGCTCTTAATTACAAAAAGTTCTCTGTTTTGGTTGTTTTGTGATTTCAGAAAGCTTGAAAAGGAATGGCACATAGGTATCATATACCAAAATTTCCATTTGCAGATGTAATACGGATTATAGTTATAGCTTAGCGTAAGATCCTTTAATGTCCGTGTAGGAAAAAAACACACGAATTCTAAACTACTTAGTACCGGGTGTTACCTATTTTTGTCCCCTTATATAATAGAAATCCACTTTGGATATCCGGTAAAAAATTATAAATACGATGCACGATTTATATCCCGTAATACGCAAAAATAGACCCTTAACTTGTTAAAAAATCAATTATCTACACAGCTATATTTAGGTAAGTAATGAGTTATGTATCAAAAACTTAGATCTATTCTACACCAATATAAATAGAGAGAAACTAATACAAAATAATTTTTAAGAATGTTTACAGGAGCCATTGGCGGACGGGGTTTTCTCAGTAACAAAAGTTGTATACGTAATTTATCGACTGAAAATGTGAGTTGTCAACATAGCCCAGTGGTTAGAGCATCGTCGGGCAATCTCAAGGTCGCGGGCCCAAATTCCCGTCGGTGCCAACTCGCATTTTTCTAATCTGGCGGAGACTCCCTACAAACAAATATTCTGATACCTATTAACATAGTGAATGCAAATTTGAAACCGTTCATTAAGTACACTAGTGCTTAGGCGTGAACAGCATTAAAGCGTCTAAAACTTTGAAATGCATTCTAGCTACTTCAAATTATAATTCCTCCTTTTTCCAAAATTAGACTACAGAAACAGCCTTAATTAGTTGGAAAATAATGCAAGATTTCTAGTAGTTTAATAATGATGGTAAATATAATAGTAATATATTTGTTAGGAATACTAAGATATTAGTAATATTGTCTATTTTAATAATATAGTAAAAGTATACACACAACATTTTAGACACAATTTAAAACACAGTAACACAAAAGAGAAAAAAAAATAAACATAGATTACAAAAAACATATTGTATAGTATATTTAGTATAGAGTATATAACCATAAAACAAAAATGCAAACGCAAAACACTAACCCTCAAAATACTCACATGAAAAATGATCTATGCTTTATCCAATTAGAAATATGAGAAACAACCAATAAAAATACAAGAACATAGAAGATATAAATCAACACGTAAAAAATTTAATTTGACCCATCTTATTAATTGGATACAAACTAAACAATAAATTTTTATCTGGTTCAATTAAATTAATTGTACATATATGGAAGCTTATTTGACATTTTGTAAAGGTACAAATGCAGACTGAAACTGGTTAATAAATGCATCATTGATTTAATATAATTCTTTATATTCATTTTTTATACAAATTTTTATATACTTCTCGACTTTGCATATAAATAGACCATATTCTTTAAAATAATCTCCTTAGAGTATTTACAGGCACACCTTGATTAGCGCGAATTTCCTAATTAAATTACATTAGGAATGCGTAATTAAACTCTTTGCTTTACCTTAAAGGAGACGGCTATAAAATGTTTTACACAAATATGAAGAACACCACAGCAAATTTATTACTAACCTCTTGAACCATTCTCCCGCATATTTTTTAAATATAAACGACCTAAACAATTTTTGGAGGTATCTTGTGTTAAACGCTTGAATCGCAAAGACATCGCTGTCTTTATGTTACGAGAGTGACCCGAGAGACCTTAATTTGTATAGGATGTTCCTCAACCCTTCCCATAATGAGGGACTTTAGGTTAAGCAGTTTAAGTTATAGCAGATATAACGTCTGTAGTAAGTTAAAACGATAATTTAATACTAATAAAACAACTCCCGCTTTCTCCCTTTCTCTACTTTCTTTCGTTGTCAAGGTTTCGCCCTTCGTACTGGGTTAATTCTGACCTCAGTATTAGTAGAACAGGATTTTTTGGAAAAAACTGTTACAACCGTGAGATTTGCGCTACTACCAAAAGAAAACCTTATCAAATAAAAATTTTTAATAATGAAAAGGAGCGTTATATTCCTTACTTAAGCTTCTGCTACTAAAAAGTTGCATTATAACTTATTGCAGGTAGGAAGCCCATTTTGAGGTTAAAACGACAGTTATTTGTATAAATTCTTAGCTTCGTCTGCAACTAATCATTAAAGACGCAGGGCTATTCTCTTATAGGTTATATAGACGATGTTGGAGATACCAATTATCATTACACTGCCGAGTTAAAGAAATTAGAAATCGACCATTTAAGAAAGTCTGATAGTTCTAAAAAGGCTTTGGATAAAGTAACTTTCTATTCCACTAATAATTAGCGGTAGCCAATGACTTTGAGAACATGCCTTCTTAACTAGAATGAGAAAGAATACAAAGCATATGCTCGAGCACCGTTTCTGATGTTCTTATACATGAATTTGCAGGAGTTTACCTTTTATTGTTCCTCAGAAAGGGACGAACCAGA